CAGACTGTAAGCTGAGAGAGCTTAAAACATTATTTTCAAGTTCTTGTTTCTTAACTATTTCTATTTTAATACTTTCGCCAGGGATGATTTTTCTAACTTTTGGAGAGGGACATATGACTGCATGGAGGGGAGAGGGAAGGGGGTACGGGTTATGACTGACACTGTTCGCTGAGAGCTTTTTTCTTTTTTTTACATTTCACAAATCTGGCCACAGCAATGCGTGGCCGGGCACAGCTAGTTCAAAATAAGACAGTTGTTCTGACTTTTAGTTACAATTATGTCCATTATTTCTTGCAGCTGAATTTAATGTACAATGATCAAAACTATATCACCAGCCCATCGCTGATGACCCTTAGTCTTCTCTTATGACCCTTAGTCTTCTCTTATGACCCTTAGTCTTCTCTTATGACCCTTAGTCTTCTCTTATGACCCTTAGTCTTCTCTTATGACCCTTAGTCTTCTCTTATGACCCTTAGTCTTCTCTGATGACCCTTAGTCTTCTCTTATGACCCATCAGGCAGTGTGTAGTTTTACTCCTCTTGTGTTAGATTTAACAGTCACTGAAACATAAGCACATGCAAAGAAACTGAAACAATTTATGTGAAAGAAAATACTACTAAACAATAAACAGCAGAGGTTACCTGGCAGAAATCTGCACATTTCTCCGAAACTGTAAAGTAACCCTTTTCGTTGGAGCACCTGAACAACCTGGCATACTCCATGTAAGAATAGTCCTGGAAATGGAAATTAAGGTAAAGTGAGAACAGTGGCAAACAAAACAGACAACCAGGCAATATCTCTGTGGATGAACGCAGAAGTACATATGTGAATTCATGTCCCACATCCTCTTTTTTCACACTGCTCTTCCTTACACTTCACTAACAGCCATTATACAATACTCTCCCTAAACTCTGCTTAGTGTTGCTTTTTCTTTCATTCACTTGAATTAAATTATCTATATCTGCAATGTTGTCTCTAGTATGAACTTCACTGTCTGTTGTAGTAATTCAATCAGCGACCTCTAATGTTTGGCTTGCACCAGTGTTTCTCTTGGCCAAAAGTTCTGCCGTGATATGCTGTATTTGGGACAGTCTTGGAGGATGTGATGCTCTGCTTAGTGATTTTGTGATACCAATTTAGTTTTTCTACTCTGTGCTGGCACCAGTTAATGAATGTCTGTCCATCTTGTTGTTATTGTTGTCAATATTTACATCTAGAGATATCATGCTCACTGATACTAATAATAGGCATGTTATTTCTTTGTCTATGAATTTCCTGCCACACTTTTTCTCTATCTGTATATTTGTCTCTCATCCACACATTGCATATTTGTCTCTCATCCACACACTGCATATTTGTATCTCACACACACTCTGTAAATTTGTATCTCGTCCACACATTGTATATTTGGCTCTCATCCACACACTGTATATGTGTCTCTCATCCACACACTGTATATCTGTCTCTCATCCACACACTGTATATCTGTCTCTTATCCACACACTGCATTTTTGTCTCTCATCCACACACTGTATATCTGTCTCTCATCCACACACTGTATGTCTGTCTCTCATCCACACACTGTATATCTGTCTCTCATCCACACACTGTATATCTGTCTCTCATCCACACACTGCATTTTTGTCTCTCATCCACACACTGTATATCTGTCTCTCATCCACACACTGTATATCTGTCTCTCATCCACACACTGTATATTTGTATCTCATCCACACACTGTATATTTGTATCTCATCCACACACTGTATATTTGTATCTCATCCACACACTGCATATTTGTATCTCATCCACACACTGTATATCTGTCTCTCATCCACACACTGCAATTTGTCTCTCATCCACACACTGTATATGTCTCTCATCCACACACTGTATATTTGTATCTCATCAACACTGTTTATTTGTATCTCATCCACACATTGTATAGTTGTATCTCATCCACACACTGTATATTTGTATCTCATCCACACACTGCATATTTGTATCTCATTGACACACTATATATTTGTCCCTCATCCACACATATGACACAACAGCAGGCATCTTAAAATCTGGAAGACACAAACACTAAATACCTCATCATACGGCTTTTTCCCACCTATTCCCACCCAGAAAAAGTTTTCTGGCTCCTCTCCTTCATTGATCATCTGAATTGTGAAGCCATCCTGTGTAGACAATAATGTTGTAGATGTTAATATCCACACAGCACAGAAATGAAAGGAAAATCCAGTTGCAATATAACCACATACAATTAGTCCGATTGAGGAGGAGGGGGGGGGTGTCTGTTGAAATCTGATGAGTTGGGCAAATAGGCACAATTATTGCAACAAGATGTAAATCACAATAAATGTGCCAACTCCCTTTTTGCCAAGGTGATCACACAAGAAAAATGAACGAATGATTGAATGAATGGGCAAGCGAACGAATGAACAAACTTTATTTGTAAAGGGTCACAAACTGAGCATGCAGGCCCGTCTGACATTCTGCCCTCCCAAACATCCATCTTTCACACAGCAGTTGTATTTTGTCAATAAAACATATAATAATATGCACAGTATGAATATGAAGCAAAAACACAAAAGAATCACTGGTAAAATGTATGCGCACACTCATGCACGTACACACTCACCTACATACTTACACATGCTCACCCACCTATTCACTCACTAACATACACACACACACATACTTACACACCCCCATACATACACACACACCATACATTCATACACAAACTCATATACACATGTATTTACACACACACACACACACACACACAAAATATACACTTACACATACATACAGACACCACAAGCATATACAGACATGCAGACACACACAGACACAAGAAGAAGAAGCAGGAGGAAAAGGAAGAGGAGGGGGAGGAGGAGGAGAAAGAGAAGAAGAAGATGAAGAAGAAAAGGAAGAAGAGGTATAAGAAGAAGTAGGAGGAGAAGAAGAAGAGGAAGGAGGAGGAGAAAGAAGAGGAGGAGGGGAAGAAGAAGAAGGAGGAGAAGAAGAAAAAGAGGTAGAAGAAGAAGTAGGAGGAGGAGAAGGAGGAGGAGGAGAAGAAGAAGAAGAGGAAGGAGGAGGAGAAAGAAGAGGAGGAGGGGAAGAAGAAGAAGGAGGAGGAGGAGAAGAAGAAGCAGAAGAAGGAGAAGAAGAAGAAGAATAAGAATAAGAAGAAGAAGAAGAACAAGACATACATGTTTCTAATAAATTCTCAGCACCTTCATCAGGCATAAAACAATTGGCTTAAAGTATCATGTCATTTCACATTATGTTTATATTTATAACATAAAAGTAACAGAAACTGTTCATATCTTGAGGCATATCGGGAATATGGTGTTGGCACCACATATTTTACAGACCAGCAGGCCCTCAGTGGGTCTTGTGGCAAAAATCTTGCTTGTTCAGTGTCAAAATAATTGGTTAATTAATGTCATTATTACCTACAATGAAACTATCTCAAAAGTATTAGGAAAATTTTTTTACATAAAAAGTTTAAATGTTAGTAAAGTAGCTATGGAGAAGTGCTGTCAGATCAACAATTTCTGTGATCATAATGCAATAAAAAACAGACAATGTAAAACAGTAAAACAAATCATAATGTAACAAAAAAGGCCACATTATAATGAAGGTCATTACAAGAAACAGGTTACACAATGTAAAAAAAAAGGTCACATTGTAAAATAAAATAAAAAGATTATAATGCAACAAAAGTCACAATGTTACAATGGTCAATCAGTGTAACAAATGCCTCAGTATTTAAAGGAATGTAACAAAGATCATAGTGTAACAAAGGTCATCCTGTAAAAAAGATCACATAATGTAGCCAAGATCACACAATGTAACAAAGATTGTATTGAAAAGAAGGGTAAATTTGTAACAAAGGCCAATCAATGTATCAAATGTCACAATGACACAGGTCATACAATGTAACAAATGTTACAACGACCACTGTAACACAGGTCATACAATGTAACAAATGCAACAATGTAGTGAAGCATAAAGTAACACAAATCAGTTTAATAAAAGTAACAGGATAATAAAAGTAAATAGTCTGCAAAAAATACCTTATACATCATGTATGCAATTTCTTCAGCAATCTGTGCCTCCTTGTGGTCCGCTTTCTTCCCAACCCAGATGTAGACGATTCCTTTCAGGTCATCACTGTCGAAAGGCACCATCAGGATGAAGCTGTGAGCAGAAGAGACATCCCTGATTGAGGATTTGCAGACAAGAACTCAAGTAATTAATGAGGTTCATCCTCACAGCACTCCACAGGTGCTCTGATCTCTTCCTCAAAAGCTCCATAAGTGTTAAAAAAACAACTGACGATGCCTGTTCTGTGCTGACGAATCAAACATCTTGTCCCCTTGTTAAATTACAATGGCCTCTTGTGAGCCTGCAAGGTGTTTAATAGGCTAGGATATGAAGAAAAAAAAAAGGAAAGTTAATTGCGCATCCTTTACGGGACGCTGCAGAACCAACCCCTGCATGTTTTTTTTGTGTGGCTGTTGTGACTTTTTCTAATAAAACGGCAGCCTAAAATAATCCAGTTATCAGTTAATTAGAGCCCCAACCTGACAGCAAACAGGTCATCCTACAGTTGGTCCGCTCCTGTACCAACAACAACCACACAGAATGCTCATCTCTGCCGCTTGTGAAACAATTTAAACAGACTGCAGTCTTTGGCAAACACACACATCAAATGCATAGGCAGCCATCAGAAGTGCTTACAGAAACAGTCCACCATAAGAACTGCAGTTCATCGCCTATGGAAGCAGCAGTTACAATAAATCAGGAACTGCACAAGAAATACTGTATAAAGCACCACAAGTTTTGTGGTAACAGGTCACTCGTCATTTTCTGAATTTACAGTTCATAACACAAAACACCTCAGGCACAGATGAAAGGCATTTCAAATTAAATTCACAGTAATAAAACAGTACATGGTAACAACTAAAATAACTTACCAGAAACGAGGACAAAGCCAAGTGGCATCAGGTTTCTCCAGCTGTGAAAGGAAATTTAAAACGCTAAATAACACCCAAGACTATTGTACAATTTTGGTTTAAAGTGTGGTTTATTTGCAAATGGTTACTTTCATAGCAAATAGCTATAAGTGCTTCACTTTCTCTCCAGTCTTATCCCACAGATCCCAGGAGAAGGTTCCCACACAGGGCAGGGTCCCTGTAGCACCAGTAAGAATTCAAGTGTATGTATACCACATCACTCACGCTACACTGTTTTTGTATGCTACAATTAAAGGACCTTTTTCATGTCTGTTGTAAGTAAGTAAAGGACCCTTTTACAAACCTTCAGGCGCATTGGGAACATATGGCTAGACCTTTATTTTCATACCAGTTGGTGCTATGTGGGTGATGTGTCAGCATCACAGTGACGGCCTTCACTTCCCAGGATTTCACCTGGTACCCATTTAAGGCCTGTCAGTGGTGCGTTGAGCATATAATGTTAGACTTCTATCTTTATAGACCAATCAGCACTAAACAGATGATCTGGTCAACATCATGCTGGCTGCCTTTTACTCCCCAGTATATTCCCTCATACCAATTTTATTCTTTGTTGATCTTGGAGGTAAGGTCACATTTTTTTTTTTTCAAAATCTCTGCCCAATGCAGATTCAAAATAAAGATCTTCAGGCCAGCAGCTGTGCATCAAGCCGCTATGACACTGTTCTTTTTGTAGTTTTATAATTAAAAATTTTGCCATTGCGGTGACCCATTTATCCTGTCTGTTACAATTTCTAATACCAATGTATTTTCAACAAAGCGCAAAGTGCCACTCTGGGTCTGCAGGTTTTTTCCCTTTGTCAAAGGGAGGCTAAATGTCTGAACCACTATCTCAGAACTACTGAGTGCACACCCTCAACCCTTCTTGCTTCTGTAATAATTCAACCCTTCCCTCCCACATTCTGCAGGCCTGCCCACTATACTTAAAAATACAGAGAGAAACCTGGCCTCAAGAGCAAAGTGCGAAGAGCATGATATGAGGATCCATGAAGAACATGTAACTGATAGATGAGCCCATCTGAAGGTCTGACATCATTAGACAAAACTGAATGCCAAGAAGAACAACAATAACAGGGAATCTGGGATCTGCTATGTTGGTCTGCCATTCAGAAAGATTCTTTTATGGTGCCAAACCTTTTAGGTAGCAGCCCGCAGGGCGGAAAACAGAACACAACGCACATGATGATAATGATAAGAAGGAAGACAGTCAAAGATACAGACAAGAAAGTTGTTGCACATACCTGAATACATCTTGTTGCAATAGGGCTACCATTTGCTCTGAGCTGAAAGAACTCTGTAGTGGGTTTAACCTTTTCTGACCCTGCTGGACGACCTGCGGGACGTCGCCCAGTTCTAATGATAAACTTTCTCTTGAAGTGAGAGAGGAACTTCAGATTCTCCTGCTGTTGATGCTGTCTCACCACCTCCAGCTTGTCACCGAACAAAGTTTGGAATTTTTTCTGCAAACTGAAAGACAGAAAACAGAATGTCCGATTTGCCTTTTGATTTGCTATAAAGAACAAATAAAATTTTCTTCCTCCAGTTACTTCAGAGAATACTATTTTTAGTTGTAACAAGTTTTTGCTTTTGAAAACAGTTAGCTGTTGCATTTTCCTCTATATGCAAACTAAAAGGATAGAGTTCTATCACCCAGCTCCGAGTTCGGTGCATGGCATCACACTGTGAGCAGCAGATTTCATTTTCAATGCTTTTCGACTGTACCCAACTTGAATTTTATCATGAACTGCAGATTCTGAAAATGGTGAGTGGCCTGTTACCAGAGAACTGGTGGTGCCTTATGTGATTAACTGTCTGCAACTACTGATCTGTTTAACTGCTGCTTCCATCAGGCGATGACCTGCATTTCTGGTGTTGGACAGTTTGTGTTGGCACCTTTGACTGCTGCCTTATGTATTTAATGCATGTGCATGCTGCTGGATTTGCTAAGACTGCAGTCTAGTCTATGCCCATTTTTTCCCCCACAAGGACAGTGATGGACATTATGTGTGTTGTTTAGCTGGCAAAGGAACAGAGCAACCACAGGATGATTCATTTGCTACAAAGCTGGAAGTGCGATGACTTTATATTTAAAAAGTAACAAAGTGGGCACGCAAGACTGTCTTACATTCCGCTCTTCCAAAAACAACAGCAGTTGTATTTTATCAAAAAAGCACGTTATGTGTATATAATAATATGCATATTGTGAATATCAATGGGTGGTAAAATGCATGCGCACACTCACGCCCACACACATACCCACACCCATACACACACACTCATACACACGCACATTCACACACATGCAAACACACATACACTCACACATAATACATGCATGCATACACTCGTACACACACATACACGCACATTCACACTCATGCAAACACACATAATACATGCATGCATACATACATACATAAATACATACATTCATACATACATACACATACATTCAGGCATCCATGCACACAGACACACACAAGCACACATACACACACGCGTGTGCATGCACACATACACAGGTTATTACCTGATTACCTTAGAGAAGAGCTGGTGGCAGATGTAAGGAGTTTCTGTGAGCTCTTTCTAAGGCAATGTGCAAACTGGCGTGTGTTGTTCTTGATGCTACTGTTTCATTGCTGCTTGTCTTCCTTTTCTTCTGTGTGCATGATATCTCTTCCACATGGCACTCCTTGACAGCTGGTACCAAGGCATTCTCGACAGATGGCCAAACCATTTCATCTGTTGCTCTTGGCACTCTGTGACAGCTGGTACCAGGGCATTCTCAACAGATGGCCAAACCATTTCATCTGTTGCTCTTGGCACTCTGTGACAGCTGGTACCAAGGCATTCTCGACAGATGGCCAAACCATTTCATCTGTTGCTCTTGGCACTCTGTGACAGCTGGTACCAAGGCATTCTCGACAAATGGCCAAACCATTTCATCTGTTGCTCTTGGCACTCTGTGACAGCTGGTACCAGGGCATTCTCAACAGATGGCCAAACCATTTCATCTGTTGCTCTTTGATGAACAGTGTGCAAACTAACACAGGTATAAAATAAAAATGACCAGCCACAGGAAATCGGTAGCTTTTTCACGACAACCAATTCTCTGCATTTAATTTAGATTTTTCTAGCCACACATAGGATTTTTTTTCTCCAACAGCACAAAGGGACAAGGGTGCTTGGCATGTGTTGCAGAGTACAGCTAGGATTCAATATCTGTGCCTTTACCAAGATAGCCGATTTCAGGAAACTCTTAAATCTTCTTTTACAACATCCATGTTGAGTGAGACACAGACAAAACTAAAAAATATCAATGTTAAGGTGACATAACAAGTTTATGTCACCACTGTCTGGGATAGGAAGAGTTAAGATTAACATAAGGGTTAAACAAAGCACTCCCCCAGCAGAGCATACCTGAATGTGAAAGTGAGCCATCCCATGTTGGATGCATCTCTCCCTTGCCAAAAATACACGATGCATTTGAACTCATCCTCTGGCAGATCCTCCTCATCAACTTCCTCTTCTCCTTCAGGCAACTCTGGTGGCACCCAGTAACGGCACAGGAACACATAACAGTCCTCAGTGTAAAAGACGCCTAAGTGGAGAGTGGAATAACATGCATCAGTATGGGTATTCTTACCATGGTTATCACGTCGGACATGGACATTCTTAATATTCTGCCCACCTGCTCCTCCTCTTCTTAGTGTACACCAGCTGTAAACTCGGCGTAAACTGGTTGTTCAACCACTTCTGGACTTTGGTCTCGTTGTAGAACTTGAGTTTTGTGTGCACATCTGTTTTACAGATCTGGCTTTCTTGTGTGCAGACTACTGGTTCCTTGCCTCTCAGGCTGATGCACTTTGAGTTAAAAAGAAACACCCCTAATTAGTCTACTTGTACAACATGCTTGGGAGGTGGGTGGGTTTAATTCCCCCCCCCCCCAATGGGGGCCTCGGAACCCATATGGGAAGCATATCTGCCGAAGTGGCATACATTATAGTCAACTCCTCTTTGAATTCTGCCTGTCTTCGTCTTCTTTGTTCGCCTTTTAAAAGTGCTGTTAGTACGTTGTATTGAAGTTTATAGCTCGGCTACAATATCTGTATCCAATTTCAGCAAACCACTAACCAGTTGCAATTGATGTCTTGCTTTTTTTTACTTGGTTTTTTTTATCTATTAAGTGTGGCTCTGTGGCTCAGAAGTTAGTGGATATTTTTTACAATTTCACAACCATTGAAATACCAGGTCTTTATATCTGTGATGAATAGTTTATAAAATGTATAAAACTGGTAGGAAAGTTGCACCATGAAAGAGATTGGCCTTATTACATAATTACTACATAAGGGTGCCAAAAGCAGAATAGGTGCACAACAATCAGGCAACCATCATTGTGGATATGGCACAGCTTTATATATTGATACAGACTGCAACAAAATATACAAAATTTGGGGAAGCCACCTCACAGAAGTTTCTATCAATCTTGCAAACAGATTTCAGGTTTATGAACAGCTGCTGTATTTTCAGATATTTTATGCATATGATATACCAATCGAAAAAAGTAATTAACATACCCAACTCCTCATCAGGAAGACGAACAAACTTTTTGTTCTCTAGAACGAATGACTCCATGCCATCAAGATCTTCATTCCAATCTGTTGATAGTTGCTCCTAGATAAACATCAAAGATCATACATCAATGAGGAATTTGTGTGTGAATTAGCAGGGAGCTTACAGCAAGTTAATGAAAAATGTGGAGGGGACCCCTGAGTTATGATATTTCCATTTATTGCTAATTCAATTTTATGACAATGTCCAATAAAAATAACTATTAATTTTGGTGTTTGTCACTTCTGATGCTCGTTTATAACAATGGCAGTTGTCGCACTGCTTTCACCCAGATGAGTCACTCCGTACATGTACTTTGTAGGTGCAGGGGAATGTATTTCCATTTAATGGTTGACTCTGTTCACGTCTACTAATTACTTCATTCACACAGTGCAGACCTGATAAGGAGAACTCACAAGGAATCCAAGAAATAGTTCTTCTTATTAAAAATTAAAATATATATATATACTTTCTAAATTTTAAAATGTTCATAAATAAATTTTAAACAAAATTTATTAGTGATCTGTGTAAAAATGTTCATTTAAAGGATTTTTCTGTCAAGAATTCTTAAGAGGTACGTAATGACCTATTTGTTAGTCGTTACTATGGTGGGATCTCCAAAACACTCTGTCTCTTGTCTTAGTTATACACTCTCTGTGACTAATGTTTATCCATCTTACAATGTTTTTCTCCCACATGTATCATTGTCTGTCTATTGACTTCAACTTTTACCTCCAATACACTTTTTAAAAGAGTGCTACACCTTTTAATTAATGTTGCCCAAATATTTCAACTGTCTCTTTTTTAAAAATTTCTCTCAGTAACTCTTTTCACAACTTGTATCTGCTACTAAATACTTTAAGTCAATGAGCTGAGATGAGTCAAGAATTGACATCACAGCACTTGAGGCATTACCATACTTGCTACGCCCTTATCTTCAGCAGCCAGCGCAGAGTTTCAATACTGATGGTACTGGTCACAATCTAGTAACATGTATGTCTTGCCTTTCCTCTGAGTTTATTGAGCCGGCCAGACCCTCTGGTTACACCCAGGTGTCTCATTCTCTCCAGGCCATAATAATCTTCTATCTCTGATTTTGCTGCTTGTTTCCAAAGGGCCTTAACCACATCTGCCTTGTCATGTATCAATTCACCGCCCAGTGGTGCAGATCCAGCCAATTTGTCTGCCTGTTCATTACCCGCCATGCCGGCATAGCCTGGAGAAAAGATCCAAAGTATGCTCACTACCCGTGACCTTTCCAGTGAAGCTTGCCACTCTGCTCAAAGCATCTCTGTCTTCGCCTTTCTCAGCATGTTTTCAGTCAATGATAACTTTCCACAGACAGCAAACTTCACCCTGTGGTGATTCATTAGTGAATTAGACATACTCTCTAAAAAGCGTGTCTGGTCTAATGTAGGGAAATTATGAAACACACTTACAGCTTCTTCCTCTGTCATGGGCGGCTGTCGTGGCATGAAAAGGGCTGACAGGTCTGTCTGCATCTTGTCCTTCTCCATTATAACCTGGACATAGATGAGACATGTTAAATCTCACATCACATAAATACAAAATAAATAAGGAACTTTCTTTTATTATCGGATAATTCTATCTATGAGCTGAAGTTTTCTAAGATTTCACCAGGATCCTCCAATTTTTAACAGTCAACTGAGAGGCAGAGGTTGTGTTTATTTAAGGAGAAAACCTGTTAGCTGAAGTAAAGGAAGAGAATCAGGTGAAGCTAGGAAAGGGAAAAAGAAGGAAGAGAAGAAGGGAAGGAAGGAGGAGAAGTAGCTGCGCAAGAATGAAAATATAAAGAGCAGAATAAGAAAAGGGGGGGGGGGGAGAGTTTAAATAAATTTTTTTGTCAATGACCTTGGCTTCCAGGTCGACCTAGCCTTGGGTGGGTACCAGGTACAGTCCTGGAAAGTAAAGGCGGCCAGCATGATGCTGACTACATCACCCACTAAGTGCCGTTTGGTCTATAAAATATAGGTCTAGCCCTATGTACCCAATATGCCTGAAAAGGGTCCTTTTAGAATGGGGGGGGGGGGGGAGGAGTGGGAAAAAAAAAACCAATGAAGAAAAGCAAAATAAGAGAAAGCCTCCCTGTGTGGGTTCTGGGCCCCCATTGTGGGGGAAAACAAGACTTCAGCCACTGCCTCCCCAACAAGCATGTCCTGAGAGTCAAATAACTGGGGGCTTCCTTGAAAGTCGGAATGCATCTGCCTGAGAGGCAAGGAACCAACAGTCTGCATACTAATAAGTCAGATATGTAAAACGGATGTGCCCGCAACATTCAGGTTCTGGAATACGTCTAAAGACCATAAGTGGACGAACGACCAGAACTTTCTGCCAGAGTTTACAGACAGAGAACGCGAAGAAGAAGAAGAAGAAGGAGGAGAAGAAGGAGGAGGGGGAAGTGAATTAGAAGAAAAAGAATGAAAGATGAAAAAAAAAGGAAGAGGCTGAGCAAACAGAAGCAGAAACTGACATTTCCATATAAACAACATAGTGTCTAAGACAGCATTAATAATTGCCATTAACGCCTGTGTTTACCACTTCTGTAATGTAGGCAGGCAGGTCTTCGAGCCTTTGGGCTGCATTTCGCCAAGGACTGTGCTGGTCCGAATTTTATTTTTGCTCCCAAAAAACACCCTCCCACCTTACCATAGATTTGAGCCCAGATATTCCGCACAAGAGCCTTGCATTCTTAACCCTTCAGTTAGCCGCTTCTCAAAACTTACCTTTAAGTCTGCTCCCCTCCTGGTGATAGATTCAGAAGTCCTAGTGTAATCAACGGGCAAGACATCATCCCATCCCACAAACTTTGTTTTAAAAATCTGAGGTTCCGTTCTGGGAAAACACACATTAAATATGAAGTAACAGGGGTTATAGTGGATGTCTTGGTATGGGTTCCAGGGCCGCATTTTGGCGGGAAACAACAGACCACCTGTCCCCTAACAAGCAAGCTGTAAAATGTGACTAATTAGAAGTGTTCCCTTCAAAGTTGCCCGAGGGTTAAGGAACCAACAGTCTGCATATAAATAAGCCAGATCTGTAAAATGGAAGCGCACACACTCAAATTCTGGAGTAAGCCGAAAGTCAAGAAGTGGACAATCACAAAAACCAGAACTTTCCACTTGAGTCTTAAATGGGCAGTTGGCATATTACAGCTAGGCTGCGATATTTGTGCCTCTTTGTTCAAAACATGCACTTTCAGCAAACCCTTTATAAGTCATCACTTACGCTGGCTTGTTATGGGGTTGTGAGTCTATTCTTTTCCCTCTAGAAAATGCAGCCCGAGAACACTTCCATATACTCCCCGTGTGGGTTCCAGGGCCCTGTTATAGGGAAAACAAGAATAGACCCACAGCCTACACAAAAGCATGTCGTAAGAGTTGCTAACTGGGAGATTCCTTTAAAGTCAGAGTGCATCTGCCTGAGAGGCAAGGAACCAACAGTCTGCATACAAATGAGTCGGATCTGTAAAACGGATGCACTCGCAGCACTCATGCTCTGGAAAAACCAGAACTTTCCGCCAAAGTTGACAGCTGGCGAACGCGAAGAAGAAGAAGACTTCCGTATAGTATAATAATGTTGTGATACCAGCCAGTATCAAGTACAGATACAATTCTGACCTTATCAGATGTTTCTTCATGTGCAGGCATGAACACTTGCTTATCGTCATTGGTTGCTTTGTTTCCTTTGAGGGTGCGAAGGACCCCAGTTTTCCCCCCAACTCGGGGTGGAGGGGAGGAATAGACTTGCTGCCCCCCCCCTCCCCCAAATGTCATTTAAAAAAGTGACTAAGGGGCTTGCTGAAATCAGGTGCATCCTTGGCAGAAAGGTGCAGATATCGCAGTCTGGTTGTAAACCACACACAATGTGTCAACCACCTCACCCCTTCAAGGGCAAACACAGAAAAAGAAATTATTTGTTCTCTTAACAATGTAAACATACATGCTCTTTTTAACTGTCCTGGTTCTGGACCAGCAGTTCTCTCTGTAGACATGAAGCCTAGCTGCCAGTCTAGCCTACCATGCTACTCCTTCCTGCTCTTGGAGAATGGAAAGAAAGCTCTGCCATGGCTCCAGCACTGTTCTCTCAAAACAACAAACTTCTGAGCTTGAAGAGAAGCTTTGTAACACAGCCCCGGCAAAATGGTACTTTGTTACTGTGCCAGGAGGAAAGTATCGATACCAGCCTAATCCCCATAGCGCTAACTATTCACTTTACTGAGAACACATCGAAATCAAGTTACAACTGTCTTCCATAAGACTTACAACTAACCAACAAATATAGTTTTACTCTAGAGTTGGATAAACTCAAATTAACAATTACTTAAGACTAAAAAGTTAAAATAAGAAATCAGCTCATTTCAAAATATTTTACAATTTAACACTGTCGCCCCGAGAATGCTAATAAAAAAAGAGGGTTACGAATTCCCACCAAAAACTTTCTTATATAAAACAACCCTTTTACAAGGGTCACCAATACATAGCAAAAAAATCTATGTATCCACATTGAAATTTTGTTTTCTTCTAAATTATATAAAGGATATACAAAGGGAGAAATAAGAACAGGGTGAAACATTATCTGAAAAAGATTCCCTCGGGTCTACAAAATATGTATTAGGTGACTCATGTTGTGACCACAGCAGAAAAAATGTGACCTCAATAAGGCTTCAACAAATTATTCTGTTCATAAGGACCCCCCCCCCCCCCACCCCAAACCCAATCGCCCAACAATGCTATTTTTAGTAAATATATTCATATCCTGATTAAATGACTATCTAGGCAATTTAAGCCACGCAGAAGTATCCGTTTTGCGGCTTCACTTGGTGACTGGATTAATCAGATTATGTTATTAAAACCAACTATGCGTGTATTCTTGAAGCAGCTGTTGTATTTATAGTTCCGGTTGTCATAGTAAATTATAATCACATTAACAGCACAAGATACCTACCCTTCTAGGCAGCGATAAATTGTGACAAATTCAGGTCGATCTATCATGTCATGCAACTCCTGCGCTAACTTAAGAGCAGCAGCTCGAACCAACCTTGTCGACTTCTTACCAATCCTGAGGAGACAAAAATATGTACCATTATATTCTTATGTGACTCTGCCATGTTTCCTCCTTACTTTGTTCTGTTACATGACACTGTTGTTTCTTCTTTACTTTGTTCTGTTATGTTACTATGTCACGTTTCTTCTTTACTTTGTTCTGTTATTTGATGAGAGGAAGTTAGTAAGTTACACACAGTAATTTTTTCTTTCCTTTTTTTTTAGCTTTGCCCTTTAGAATTACTGTCTGTAGAATTAACATCTCAAGGATGAGAATCACATAGGTACAAATCCTAGAATCCCTGTTCAACCATATAGCACATACTTGGACAGCATATATATAACATGGGTATTTTCAAACACTGATGAAATACAAAACGGAATAATATGTTACCTCCCTTTAAAAAAGGAGAAAACAGTTGTTACAGATTGTATTTACCACTTCTGCGGTGTAGGCCTTAGCTGGAGAGAGAGAGAGAGAGAGAGAGAGAGAGAGAGAGAGAGAGAGAGAGAGAGAGAGAGAGAGAGAGAGAGAGAGAGAGAGAGAGAGAGAGAGAGAGAGAGAGAGAGAGAGAGAGAGAGAGAAAGAGAGAGAGAGAGAGAGAGAGAGAGAGAGAGAGAGAGAGAGAGAGAGAGAGAGAGGGTGGTGGTGTGAAGAGGGTAGTCTTTGAGCTTCAGGATTTAGGAGTCGCCATTCAGTTAAGAATTTAATTTTTGCTCTCGTCAAAAAAAAAAAACCAAACACGAACCTCCAGAGATCTTCAGAATAATTTCACATGTCAACTGCACCATCTGTGAAATGAACCCACATCCTTCAGAGCATGAAACAGATGGCTCACACACTTAGCTATGGATTAAGATATCCATTAGCACTGATATTCTGATCCCACTGCTGTATCAGTGCTTCAAAACCTGCAGCAGGTTCTTTGCTGTCACGAACACATTCACATCATTTGCTGAACTTCTCAACTATGTGGTCATAATTCGCCTCACAGCACTAAAGTAAAGGACCCTTTTCCCACACCTTCAGGTGTATTGAGCATACAGTGTTAGACCTACATTTTATAGACCACATGACACTAGGTGGGTGATGTGGTCAACATCACAGTGATCCCCTTTACTTCCCAGGACTTTACCTGGTATCCATTTTAGGCTTGGGTGACCTGGCAGCCAAGATCATTTGCAAAAACAAACCAAAAAAAAAAACCAAAAAAAATCAAACTTGATGGAAATTGAACCTATCACCTTCGGGGGTGAGTTGAGCGTCTAGCCGCTACACCACTACAGTTCCCATCTGACAAAGTACTGACCAGACAAAATAATCACGCCTCTGCTAGGGATTGAACCCAGCCCTCCTGTCTCAGCAGACAAGAACACTAAATGCTATCCCCCCAAAGTTCTCTTCATTGTTCAAGACTATCTTCATAGCCAGGCATACTCATAAGCTCTCCAACCTTCTAATAAACATGAGTTTTATTGTGTTTACACTGACAGCTCATGTTCTTTACTGGCACTGGCAGGGATTGTCAGCTCCTGCAAGGTTTTCATGTTGCGCAATTCCAACTAGTATATCCACTTCTTCTTACCGCTCACTGGCTGTAAACTTCAGCAGAAAAATTGTGGCTGTTTGTCCATTTCTGGACTTTGGTCTTGTTCCTGAACTGAGTTTTGTGTGCAAATCCAATTTACAAATCTGGTTTACTTCTATGCAGACTGTTGGCTCCTTGCATCTCATGCAGATGCACTCCAACTTTGAAGGAAACTGCCCTAATTAGTTGATTTGTGCGACATGCTTGAAAAGAAGGCAGTGGGTCTATACCTTTTTCTACCTGACTGGGGGCCAGAACCCACACAGGGAAACTGGCAGATCCGGACTTTGGAAACTCTTCTCATGTGTAACATGGTAAAAACAACAAAAATTAAAAAATTAAAAACAATGAATATCTTACCAAACAAAGACATCAGTGATGCAGTCCAAAATATATACACATTTTGTGTCTAGCAGGGAGTTCACCAATCGGTTTTTGGGGATATGAACTGCAGAGAAATTGAAATAAAAAACATGTTACGACAGCCCAGCAAGCTAAAACTGTCAAAGGAAGCTCTTCTACTTCTTCACGCTCACCAGCTACAAACTCTGGGAGAAAGTTCTGGTTGTTCATCAACTGCTGGACTGCAGTTGTGTTCCAGAACCTGACTGTTCCATGTGCATCGGTTTTACAGATCTAACTCCTAAGTATGCAGACTGCTGGTTCCTTGCCTCTCTGGAAGATGCAATCCAACTTCAAAGGAAGCTCCCAATTAGTCACTCTTACGACATGCTTTAGGGCAGGCAGTGGGTCTATTGTTGTTTTCCCCACAAGAGGGCCCTAGAACCCACACGGGGATCAAATGAAGCTAAAACAAAACAATCAAAACATCAGTTATAGCATACTGTACCATAAGCAGTTGTTTATTTGGAGGCTTTTCTGGGCTGATTAATGAAGGTAAAGAGGTCCAAAAGTCACAACAATATGATCAAGTTGAGGTCTGTATTTTCCTTTGCTTGCCATCATCCTCCTGTTTTGTTGTTTTACATTATATAGGGGTTGCAGTCTAGTACTCCATTCCGCTGAACCCTGTGACATCCTATCAATATCAACGATGGAATCCCATCCAATGCATTTAACCTCTCAACATCCATCTTAAGGAATTTTGACAGTCCATGAAATTTTAACTATTCTTCTGTAAAATGACGTCTTTGAGGAACCAAGAAATGTCCAGAATTCACATCCATATGTTCAAACTGGCTCTAAGTAGCATTTGATAAATCTCTTTTTTTTTTCTAACCTCCCATGACAAGGATTTATTTTAAGATCATTTTTAAAAAATGCAACTCCTGCCTGTCATATTCTGTAAGAAATCTTCCATCTGATGTTATCTGTGTGTCTACAGTTAATCTTGTGTACCTGTCCCAAAACCATAATGGTAGATGAGAGAAAATATAGCAGAATCATGACTTGCAGTCTGCTCCAGACAGAAGAAAAATTCTTCTTCTTTCATTCACTTGAAATAGATTATCTATCTCTGCAGTGTTGTCTCTAATATGAACTTTACTGTCTTTTGTAATTCACTCAGCAACCCGTAAAGTTTGGCTTGCACCGATGTTTCTCTTGGCCAAAAGTTTTGCCTTGATATGTTGTATATGGGACAGTCTTGGAGGACATGATCTGTTGTCTCAGGTGCTAGTGTACAAAGAAGAACAATTAATGTAAGATGCAATGCTTGGTATGTTTGGCAGTGAAAACAAGTCATAGATCAGGCTTACCCTGTGGAAGCTCTAGATAACCTTTGCCGAGACCAACTCTGTACAATCGTGGGTCAGCAGGTGGAATGTCAGACAGTGGAGTGGGCTGTGAAAATACAACCTTATAATAAACCGTGTACACACCAAACACAACATAATTTCATACAGATAGACAGAGAGACAGATAGACAAATGGATAGACAGACAGATATTTGGTTGAACAGACATGTAACGCGATAAGCTGTGTCAATGTGCTTCCTTCAGGAAGATGAAGGCATATTTTGAATGGCTATGGTTCCATTCTCTAATTGGCCTAGAAATAATCCAAAGAACTGTGACTAAAAAATGAAAGAGGGAAGGGGAACAGTGAGCACAAAACAGACAAACTAACATTTCGGCCGGAGCCTTTTTCAACATTAACTCTTTTCCAGATGAACTTTTTTTTGTTATTAGGTTAGTTGCGTATACTTTACAGGATGTTGCAGAACCAACCCCATCCCCATCTGGCTGTTGTGTGGTTTCCCTAGCAAAATTTACGTCCAGTAGTTTGCCATTGCTTTCTGGACGGTCGGCTCCCTGATACCACTGTCGAAACCAACGCAAGGCGTATGGCCCGCAGCTGGGATCGAACCCTGGTACACCGGCATTATGAAGCGTTCGCTTCCACTTAGCCAAAGGGCCGACCTTTTTTTGTGGTCACAGTTTTTTAAATTTATTTTTTAGTGTTAAATAAGACTCAGTGAGAAATGGAACCTACAACCTTTTGGCCTAAGGCAAGCATCTAGCCGCTACACCCTGGTGGCTTCCTCTGCTAGCTGTAGACACTTAGAAAAAAAGTCATTCGTGGAATGTACTAGATACTAGAGACAGAGGAACATACAGTAATATGTAAATGTAAAGTTTTCTTCTTCTGCTTCTTCGTGATCATCGGCTGTGAACTCTTGAGTAAGTTCTGGTTATTTGTCCACTTCTGGACTTTAGTCTTGCTTCAGAACCTGAGTGTTACATGCACATCCATTTAACAGATCTGACATAACTGTAAATAGATTGTTGACTCCTTGCCTCTCAGGCAGATATACTCCGACTTCAGGGGAAGCCTCCAGTTAGTCGACTCCGACCCCATGCTTGTTGGGGAGGCAGTGAGACTATACTTGTTTTCTCCACAATGGGGCCCCAAAACCCACATGGGGACAACACAAAGTTAAACAGCAATATAAGCAACGCGACAGAACAAAGTCCCACTCTACCTTGATTTGTACATTTTCTGGGGACACACCAAACACCTTCCAGAAATCAAAAGTTTCTTTGCCCTGGGAAAACTGGATGATCTCTGCTGATCCTTTTCTTTCATTCTTGTTGATTTTCTCAGCAATCAGTCTAAAGAGTGGCACATGAGACTGATTAATAAAACAGATGTGGTCAGGAATAGAACACAAAACTAAATAAAACTTTTACTAAAACAGCTATTTCTTTATGCAGACTAAAAATTAAAATCTGTTATCACTAAAGGGAAAACAAGTTTTAAAAGTAGTAAAAACATACAACATGCAGAAAAGTAATAATCAATCTAAAACATTACAAAACACATGTCTTAGGTTTCATTTACAAAATCTTTATCACTGAAGGCCAAAACACTATATATATATTTATATATATATATATATATATATATATATATATATATATATATATATATATATATATATATATATATATATATATATATATATATATATATATATACATACATACATACATACATACATACATACATACATACATACATACATACATACATACATACATACATACATACATACATACACACACACACACACACACATATACACACATATATATATATATAGATAGAAGAGGGGATGGGGAGGGAGGCGGAGGCAGGCGGGGAGGGAGGGGAGGCAGGCAGGGAGGGAGGGAGGGGGAGAGAGAGAGAGAGAGAAAGGACAGACCCACTGCCCCCAACAAGCATGTTGTAAAAGGTAACTAACTATGTTGTTTCCTTTAAAGTCGGTGCAACTGCCTGATAGGCGAGAAACCAACAGTCTGCATACAAAAAAGCCAGACCTGAAAAAATAATAATAATAGTAAAAGGATGTGCACACAAAACTCAAGTTCTGGAACAAGACTAAAGTCCAGATGTGGACAAACAACCAGAACTTTCCACCAGAGTTTACAGCGGTGAACATTGAGAAGAAAAAAGAAGAAGACGACGAAAAAGAAGAAGAAGAGGAAGAAGACGACAAAAAAGAAGAAGAAGAGGAAGGTTTAACAAAAGCTAGTACCTAGATTTTGTACGTGTGACAAGATTAGACTTGCTGCCATTCCAAACAAAGATCTTTTGGCCAGCGTCCAATAGGAAGACATGTCTGGGATCGAGCATTTCCACCAGCAGGGGGCACTGTAAGGAGAAAAATAAACTGCAGTGACACTAGAACTTGGGTTTCTTCTCAAATAATAATTACATAACTGTGTCTTCCTTTTCTAATATATTTTAAAATAAAGATTAGATTATGTACCTTTCTTTTTTAACCCTGTTGCTATAAAGAAGCAGTTTTCCCTAATATTTTTTTTGACTTTGCTGACATAAAGTCTTTCAGCAGCGACCAATACACTTATATAACAGTCTGCAATGGGTTGTAACTGCATAGTTTTGTGTGTGTGCATGCGTGTGGGAAGAAGCATGGACAGAGCAGATATAATTAATGCTGTATGGGCTGGGCTAGTGAATAATGACAAATCTCTGACACTAACACGACTGCATGACTTGGAAGTAAAGCATAGTGAAGCACGTCTATGCTGTCTCTGAAGCTGTGATAGGAAACATTATAACCAAACTCTCAAATGAACAATTAGTAGAAGTACCCTGGAGGGGCTGCTGCATGGGAGGACTGAGCACACATGAAATTGCCCAATGTGCAGTGACGTCGACTGTGATAACAAAAAAAACTGCACAGTATGTGGGTGCGGTAAGTGTGACCAAAGTTACACACACATACAAATTTACATATCTAGGGTGGAAAAAAAAGGTCTTAAAATTGTGATGTCATCGTTACTTTATAATAATCGTATAAAGACATCCCTTTGCTCCACATGACAAATTCAACAAAACCACCTTTATCATGGTCAAAGGGAAGGAAAACAGGGTATTCACATCAGATGGCCAACCATCTTATCTGTTGCTCTTTAATGAGCTGAATGACTGGTTAGTTAATCGACCAATCATCCTGAGCTGAATGACTGGTTAGTTAATCGACCAATCATCCTGAGCTGAATGACTGGTTAGTTAATCAACCAATCATCCTGAGCTGAATGACTGGTTAGTTAATCAACCAATCATCCTGAGCTGAATGACTGGTTAGTTAATCAACCAATCATCCTGAGCTGAATGACTGGTTAGTTAATCAACCAATCATCCTGAGCTGAATGACTGGTTAGTTAATCAACCAGTCATCCTGAGCTGAATGACTGGTTAGTTAATAGTTAATCGACCAATCATCCTGAGCTGAATGACTGGTTAGTTAATCAACCAGTCATCCTGAGCTGAATGACTGGTTAGTTAATCAACCAGTCATCCTGAGCTGAATGACTGGTTAGTTAATAGTTAATCGACCAATCATCCTGAGCTGAATGACTGGTTAGTTAATCAACCAGTCATCCTGAGCTGAATGACTGGTTAGTTAATCAACCAATCATCCTGAGCTGAATGACTGGTTAGTTAATCAACCAGTCATCCTGAGCTGAATGACTGGTTAGTTAATCAACCAATCATCCTAACTGAACATCAGACAAGTTCACAAACGCTCAGATCCCATCTTCAGTATCTCCCTCAGCGTGTGACGACTGATAACAACAGTTCTGTGATGGTTACTATTCTTCTTTGGCTACCTGTATAGTGTTCATGCCTGCAGCACCTTTTTTGACATGAAGATCTTGTTTGTCTTGTCAAGGTGGCCAAATTCACAGCCATCTCCTGAATCATCTTCCTCATTGACAGCACTAAGAACATTGGCTTGGTTCATTGCTTTTCTGTGCCTACCGTGGCCCCGCAAGCAAACCCTTGTTCATTCCTTCTTATCCCAGAGTGTCCTGGCACAAAAATTAAAATGATTCCTTAAACTGAATGACTGGCTTCAGTATGAGACTTCTTCTAATTTCTAACAGCACCGAGGTAGTCAAAACTAGCTCTAATTTTTAACAGTACTGAGGTAGTCAAAACTAGCTCTAATTTCTAACAGTACTGAGGTAGTCAAAACTAGCTCTAATTTCTAACAGCACCGAGGTAGTCAAAACTAGCTCTAATTTCTAACAGTACTGAGGTAGTCAAAACTAGCTCTAATTTCTAACAGTACTGAGGTAGTCAAAACTAGCTCTAATTTCTAACAGTACTGAGTTGGTCAAAACTAGCTCTAATTTTTAACAGTACTGAGGTAGTCAAAACTAGCTCTAATTTCTAACAGTACTGAGGTAGTCAAAACTAGCTCTAATTTCTAACAGTACTGAGTTAGTCAAAACTAGCTCTAATTTTTAACAGTACTGAGGTAGTCAAAACTAGCTCTAATTTCTAACAGTACCGAGGTAGTCAAAACTAGCTCTAATTTTAAACAGTACTGAGGTAGTCAAAACTAGCTCTAATTTTTAACAGTACTGAGGTAGTCAAAATTAGCTCTAATTTCTAACAGTACTGAGGTAGTCAGCATCTGTGCCTTAGGCATTGTGAAAGTGCTTTGTAATGCCGGGATTGCCAAATTCAATTGGGAGGTTTGTCTAGTATTTGTTTCAACAGTGGTACCAAGAGCTGTCCGTACAGAAAGCAATGACAAACTACTGAAGGTAAATGTGCCTAAATAAACCCATAACAGCCACCCAAAAATGCTAGGGCTGGTTCTGCAATGTCCTGTAAAAGATATGCAACAAACTTTTTACTAAGATAATCAAAACTAGCTCAAATTACAACTGCCAACCTAATATATTCTTTTCAGGAGTACTCGTTACTTACTCTTTCCATATGTACCGACTGGGTGCCGGTTGCTCGATACAGTCTGAGTTCTGGCTCCTGTGTGTCCCAGGAGAGAATTATCATTAAAGTTCCATAGTTGCAGACAATATGGGAAACACAGAAATTTGTTTTTGAGATACACAAGCACAATGATATCAAAACACTCATAACTAAAGAAACTCAATCATAGAATGATATATATATATGTGTGTGTGTGTGTTCAAGCTTCGGCTCTGTGGCTAAGTCGATGTGAACGTTTGGTTTCAACAGTGGTATAAGGGGGCCTACCGTCCAGCAAGCAATGGCAAGCTACGGGACGTAATTTGCCTAGAGAAACGACACAACAGCCAGGGGCTGCTGGGGTTGGTTCTGCAACGTCCTGTAAAGGATACGCAACTAACCTAACCTGTATGTTCAAACACATTTTCCCAACTGCTCCCCTTAAAAAAACTTGCCAATTACTGCCTTTATCTACAGCTTCTGCAGTGTAGTTTATCATCTGGCATTAGATGGAGAATACCCTGTGTGGGTTCCAGGCCCTATTATAGGGAAAACAAGAATAGACCCACTGCCTACCAAAAAGCATGTCGTAGGAGTCAATTAATTGGGAGCTTCCTTTGAAGTCGGAGTGCATCTGCCTGAGAGGCAAGGGACCAGCAGTCTGCATACAAAGGAGTCAGATCTGTAAAACGGAGGCACACGCAACACTCAGGTTCTGGAACAGGACTGTCGTCCAGAAGTGGATAAACAACCAGAACTTTCTGCCAGAGTTTACAGCTGGTGAACGTGTAGAAGAAGAAGATGGATAATACATCTATAGACTGATAATATTTTATTTCTCTCTTATCATTAAGCATTTTTCTCATAAATAAAAGAAGAGCAGCTGGTCGAATGATTAAATATGTTGAGCTTCTCATAGGTTGGAATCCTCGGTAAAGTCGTAGATTTTTTTTTGCCGGGGGCAAAAATAAAATCCTACTCTGCACAGTCCGTGGAAACAGCACTAGCAGTGCGGTCCTAAATCCTACATTTATTACCCTGCCCATGTAAATCCTCCAGGGATCACACAATAACACTTCTTTATTCATTGTTTATTGCACAAATTTCACTGTGCTACAAATAAGGTTTAGGTTTAAACAATGGATCAACATTATGGCACAAGGGTAGTAACCCACAAGTGCTCCGTTCTACTTCTAACTCAAGTCTGAGCCTGAAGAATCTCAGAGTAGTGCATGAACTCCGTAGAGCCGGCGAGAATCCTGAAACACTTTAGGAAGTTTTTTAAACTCCAAATTTTACCTTTTCAATTTCCAACAGCCAAGAGATTTTTTTACGTGCGCAAAAATACACAAGGGCATCCTATCTAACTACTCAGAGACCAGGGGAAATTACTAGTAATCTACATGAAAAAATCCCAGCCTTCCCCAGGGCCTGAACCCGGGACCTCCAGCACTTGAGACCGATGCCATGCCCCGAGATCACGCAGCCCCCTGCTGTGCTACTAATGACGTTTGTGTGTCTCTGTCCCAGTCAATCACTAACTTCATTAATCATAGCTGACTGTTCAGTTCCACATTAAGCAGTCATCCAGACACAGTAATAGATCATTACAATTTATGCAGTGTCTTCTGCACACACATTAATCTGACTTAGCACTACATTGGTGAATATAGCTTGTATTCCATCGCAGCAAGCTGAGGACACAGCTGAAACAACCTCCTGAATGGACACTCACATCAAACAATGCTTCATATCAATCTTTTCTTGAACTAACTTCACTTACAACCAGTACTCTTCGGGTCCAGTCTAACGAATTCCATAACATTCTCTCTCCTTAACTATATTTTCACACTCCCATAAGCTCGATTACTTTTGCTTACACATCTACTCTTCTCAAGTGATTTATTAATTTCTCAACTATTTTCTGCTATGCAGAGTATTTCCTACTCTTCACTGTCCGGTCAGATTCGCTGTTGTAACTTCTAATTCCCAAACTTCATCATGTCACTACATCAGACATAAAAAAAATGAACCCAAGACAAACTTTATTTTCACAGACAAACAAGGAAGTGGAATGATGGACTGATAAACTTACATAAATAAACAGAGTGGGAACCCTCGGGGCCACAGAAATATTATTTATACAATAAACAAATGATGTATTGATTTGTACTCATAGAAAGAAGTAGAAAGATTGAAAGACACACTAGACAACATAAAAATTGAAAGCTGGCATTAACGTGCCGGGAATTGAACTTGTCACCCCCCAAATGATGTGTGTTTCTTGCTATGGAAACAAGTGCTAAAATCACGACCAACTAGTCATCCCAATTGATAAACTGATAAGTTAGTGGATAGTTATAAAACATATCTTCTTTAAAAAAAAATTAACACCAACTAAAATAACAAAAAAGAACAGCAGGAACTCATACCAGCTAACCTAAAGTCATCCTTCATGGAAAGAAATAAAACAGGAAATGTTGAATACTTCTCTACATAATTATAAAACTAAATTTTTAGATTAGCTTCCGAAGAAAAAATGAAACAAGCAGACCCTTTTGGCAAATCAAATTATAATATATTCAAAAAAATGTATTGAAATTTTGTTCAAAACAAAGCCTTACCATATCTTCTACAGTGTAGAAACCACTAGCAGTCCTTCCACCGGCTATGTAAGAAATGCCACTTTCAAACAGAGCCAGGAAATCTTCATCTTCATCTCCCTGTTCTTGCCGAATCGTTCGGCAGTCAGCACCCAGTAAATTGCGAAGATTCACTGCATGGATGGCTGAGCAAGCCTTCTTGTCAAGCTAAAGCAATAGTGGAATACATTTAGCAAGATTAAGTATTAGACAGTGTTTCCAATGTCACAGTCTGTTTAAACAATATTGAGGGGCCTGTGACAGCCTTCATCATTCTCATCTTAAACCGCTTCTGCCGTTCAGTGTCGCGGGCAAGAGGGGAGGAGGGATAATTTGCAGCCTAGTGCAGGCTGTCTGCCACTGGCTATTATCATGCCATGAACACGCAAAGTGTCTTCAATCGTGTCTGTCAATCCATATTTTCATGGCCGTCCTCTTGCTCTTGCAGCTGATCATCTGAGATGTAGTGCCTGGGATGAAATTTGATGTTGCTACATTCTAATGAGATAGCCAAACTATATGATCTGCTGTTTCTCTATGAATTTAGTACAAGGTGTTGCTCCCAAAAAATGTCTGACAGTTCACTGTTCATTTTAAAGATCATCATCATCGCACATGACCACAAGTGCTCTAATCACCTCCAGAGTGTGTCTGCAAGTGTTTTCAGGCTAACAACTCCCATTCTGTTCTGGTTGTTGTAACAATTGGTGGCTCCCGCATGGTTTTCCTGTCTCATGGCTCCAATAGGTACACCCAGTGCATGCAGTCTATTCAATGAAAAATAATTTTCTACGAAACTGAAAGCCTCACAGCGTTTAGTCTCTTGTATGGCATTGATGATGTCTCTGCTGTTCACAAATGGCCCATTCCTGATAGTAGCACTGCCAGCCACAGTGCTGTATCAGATGGAGCCACTGTTCGTAAAGACCCCTGTGATTTTGAGGTAGAGGACGCTAGGCACATTGCAAGCCTGCTGTTTTTTTTCAGAAGATCTAGTAGGTATTTTAATGCTTTACATGATGTGTCTCTGGTGCAGCCAGGAATGATGCACATTGCTTCATACCCTTTCCAGTCTGTCCTAGGAATGATGCACATTGCTTCATACCCTTTCCAGTCTGTCAATCTGTGTCTGGCTGAGGGTGAGGGTTACTAGTGCATATTCTATGACAGAGAGGCTCACAGCCTGATAGAGGATGACTAGCAGCCTTTGTTGACCACACATGTCAGTCATAACTGTCACTGCAGCCAAACCCTTTCTGGTCTTGTTGATCAAAGAATCAACTTGGAATCCAGAAGTTCCCTCACAAGCATGTCATAAAAGTCAATTAACTAGTTAACTAAGGGTGTTTCCTTTGAAATTGTAGTGCATCAGCCTGTGAGGTGACGAACCAACAATCTGCATATAAATAAGCCAGATCTGTAAAATGGATGTGCATGCAAATCTCAAGTTCTGGAACAAGACTACAGTCAAGAAGTGGATGAACAACCAGAAATTTCCACTGGAATTTAGAGTCAGTAAATGCTAAAACAAAGAAGAAATCAAGTCAACTAAAAGATGTTCATACCGTGGCATCATTGCCGATCCAATACCAAATCTTCCAGCTGAGACTGCTGGACTCATCAATGAAAGTCTTTAGCAAAATGTAGCAATCAGCTTGATAGAACTTGCCAATGAGTGCTGCAGTAGGATGGAGTCATGACACAAATCATCAGTCATTTCATAATTGAAGTATACAAATATATTATGAGAGACTACATTTGTGCAGTTGTTTCACGAAAAAACACAAGCAAACATTTCAACAGAATAAGTCAAAATCAATCAGCTAACACAAAAATAATTTAATTTAATAAATAATAAATGCAATAAATATCATAAATAAAAACAATAAAATTAATATAAGTGACACGGAAGCCGCTTTGGTGTAGCGGTTAGATACTCACCTGCGGATCGGAAGGTCACAGGTTTGGATTCTGACAGATCGGGACTTTAAAAAAACAATTACCTTGACTCCCAGGTCGACCCAGCTTTGAGCAGGTATCAGGTATAGTGATGGGAAGTAAAGCTGGCTAGTGTAAAGCTGACCACATTATCTACCAAGTGCCGCTTGGTCTATAAAATATAGGTCTAGCCCTATACGCCCAATATGCCTTAAGGCGTGGAAAAGGGTCCTTTACTTTACTTACTTTATAAGTAACACAATTATAACTTTCATCTTATGTGACATCTGCTATTCAGAAGATAGAAAATTTCATTTGTATAAGACGATATACTTTCCCAAATTCTTTAGGTTTAAAATTTGGGATTTTCTTATGGGGGAGCGTCTTATACATGACATGTGGAAAAATATGTTATGTATCTCATGGCTTTGCATGCCATGTCCCTGATGCAGCCGAGTATAATCCTCATTGCCTTATTCTGAATTTTTCCAGCCTTTCTTTTGTGTTTCACTAAGTGTGAGGATAGCCACTGCATTTTCCTGAACAGAAGGGATTTATCCTTGACAGAGGGGATGACGCCGATCTTAGGTGATGATCGTGACCCGTAATGCTGCTAAGCCCTTGTTTTGTGAAGTAAAGTAGTAATAAAGATTCATGACAATTTGACAGTTCATCTTCACTGAACTTTTTCAGCGCCTGTCCGAGTGTTGTAATTTATGTTGTGCCTGAATATTAATACCAAAAAAATGTATGTGGCAATGAGAACATATAATTAAAACAAGAAAGAACAATTTTGGAGATAACTTACCTTCTTCGACTGCATTGGGTAAGAAATTTTCAATTTCCCAGCAGCTTACACCTATTCAATGAAATAAAAAACATACAAACGTTAAATTGTATTCTAGCAAAAATGACTGATCTGAAGAAATATTTTTACACATAACACTGTTAGCTCACTGAGGCAGTGTAGGATCAATTTCCACTAGTAAAAATACAGAACAATTATTTTACACCACTGGCACATCGGGCATGGTGCCGGCCACCTGGACTTGTGGAGATATATGCTGGTGCCCATCATTAAAGCGGAGCTGACCATTTCTTTAGGGCTCTAGGGCTGATCTAGCTTCATAAAAAGGGCACCAGATAATTTTCTGACAACTGTCTGGATAGAAAAGGTAATGATTAACGGAAATGGCCACCTCAGTTCATGTTATGGCCCAGAATGAATTAAATTTAACCAGGGATTTTTTTCCTTTTTGGTGATAAGCAATGGTAAGTATTAACAGCACCTTTTATTTTGTAAGGCATAACTTAACTTTTGCAATGCTTACGTAATAAACAATTTGCGATGACTACCGGCACTTTTTGAAAAACAAAAAAGATATTTTGTGGTGTAAGGTAAGTTTACAATGGATACCAACCCACTGTGGAGTTCCCAGAAATGAAAGACTTGATAAACTAGCTAAGGAAGGTGCAAATGAAGAACAACATGACGTACCTGTCTCCTATCAACACAGAAAGACCAATCAAATCAATCAGAAAGTCACCAAAACTGGAACAAGACGATACGATTACCATATTATGGACAGACCAGAGCGAGTCATCATTCTATGCCTTAGAACAGAGTATAATCAACTTTGCAGCCACACAATTTAAAATTTGCAAATCGGCCATGTGGATTATTAACAAAGACAACATATCACGTCTTCCAAGACTGTCCCAAATACAACATGTCAAGGCCAAAGAAAGACCGGCTTTAGTCAAATTTTACGGGTCGCTGAGTAAATTACAAAACACAGTAAAGCTCACACTAGAGACAACACTGCAGATACAGATAATCTATTTCAAGGGAAAGAAAGAAGAGGAACTTCATAACACAATGACAACATCATTAGCTAAGTTTTTCATGGTAAACTTGATTTTGCAGCTAAATTTTTTAACCGGAGAAGGCTGATAAGATAAGGCTATTATTTGGCTCCTTTCCTTTATAAGTCCTGGTAACACAGACGTGCAGTCAGTAGCATGTCCTTTGCAGAACCTGACTCCCATAACAACCTGATGGAAAACTTATCGATAACAAGCAAGATGTCCTGCACCCAATACACCCATCTGGAGATCATCCGCCACATCCTGCACCCATCTTCTCTTTGGCCTTCCTCTTCCTCTTTTCCCCAGGCCTATACCCCTCCATTATTGTTCTCTCTTAACTTTTGTGACGTTTCAAGTGACCTAAATATTAAAATTTTCTGTGTTTTATTATCTTTAATACGCCATTTGAATTTAATTGATCATTTAAAAAAAAAAATCTATTACAGTATATAGTCTGTGGCTAAGGCAGTGGGCTGCTATTTGTGAATTATAATGTCGGGAAATAAATTACAAATCAATATTTACTATTTACTAAAACAGTGACCTGCATGTTCTCCTGTCTAATTGGTGGTCTTCACGTTTGGCCCTCTGAAATTTTATAAAAACTGACCAAGACTTCCAATTTCTTTTGCTTCTTATTCTCTTCCCCCTAGTTTCTTAAGGTAAAGTTTCAGAGAACTATAAGAAGGCATTTTTTTGTCTGTAAAATAAAATGTCATATTTTCACTTTTTATTGTGGTACCCTTTCACAGATAAACTGGACAATTACCTGGAATCTGTCCCACATCTTCATCAAATATCTCACTGTAATCTAAAGATGGTCTATGAAGATGCTCGTCCCATCTCTTCTGTCTGTACAAGAAAACCAAGAAATGGATCAGTTAAAATTACAACCAAAATCAAATGCTCAAAAAGTCCCTATGTATGCTTAGAAAAAAAAAAAAAAAAAAGCGGAGTAAGAGGTGTGGGGAACTTTGCTGGTCAAATGTATTTTGCCACTCCAGGTAACAAACAAATCTACAACCAACATATACCTGTGACAGACGTA